TGAGCCACCATGCCCGGCCCAAACAATTCTTAAAGAAAACACTTCAAGATGTGGTAACACATTATAAAGAATCTGAAAACAACTCAGATACAGAACTTCTTTATTTAAGTGCTGGAAAAAGGATTGGGAAATCAACACAGAGGTCAAATTGAGCCTGTAAAAGAGCATCTGAAAAAATACCTCAGGTTAAATTTGTTTGGTAAGAAAATTACATTCATGACATTAGGCATGAAAAGTCAGTTAAATCTCAGTTCTTGTTAGAACTTTATACTTCACCAAAAGTTTTTACTTATCAAATGCTGAGATACTTACTTGCAGGGATGGGCTGAGACAGTCTCTTAGTATTTCCTGATGATTTGGTTCATGAACTATTTCAAAAATTTGCTTTCTCTCTTGTGCAGTATGGGCTGGTGACAAAATATGTACTAGTAGTCTCCCAAGCTGCATTCGGAAGGTTTCCTTACAAGACCATAGGATTTTAGTCCACTGCTGCTTAGAACCACTGGTTTTACTTGAACCCTTAAATCAAAATAGGAATGAATTAAGATCAGACTTAAGTAATAATATGTTAACCTTATATAGCCCTAAAGAAGATCATGGAACATGTTTTATTCTACATTTATTAGTCAATATTAGAAAGACATATACACATCCGTACAAATGGCAGTTTAAAAAAGATGAGCATATAACAACATTCATAATAGCATTATTCAAAATAGCTGAAAGGTGGAAACAGTTCAAATGTCCATCAATGGATGAATGGATAAAGAGAATGTCATATACACACACAATGAAATATAATTCATTTTTAAAAAGCAATCAAGTTCTGATACATGCTTCAACACAGATGAACCTTGAAAACATGCTAAATTAAATAAGCCACACACAAAAGGACAAATATGGTATGCTCCCACTTACATGAGATATCTACTTTCATAGAGACAGAAAGTAGAATTATGGTATTGGGAACTAGGGGTCAGGGAATAAGAGTTATTGTTTAATGGGCACAGAGTTTCAGCTTGGGATAATAAAAAAGTTCTGGAGATGGATGGTGGTGATGGTTGCACAACAGTATTAATGTACTTAATGACA